GAGGATGCACAGGTGCCTCTGTCTGCTGCTTGGAGCTGGGCCTATTTTCAAGGAAGTGAAGTACTCTAGCAGGTTTTGATTATTATTTAAATGCTATTAAACCTTTAAATGGAGATGTTAAACAGGCAGGTGACTGTAGGAGTTTGGAGATAGGGGAGCAGTCTGGGTTGGAGACACACATTCAGAAGATTTTAGAACATAAATGGTACTTACTCATAGGGTCATCTTGAGTGAGAGTATGGAGAAGAGAAAAGGGAATATATCCCAGGGGGAAGAGAGGTTTTCATTTAAAACTGGTCAGTCTTTTAAGTCAGGGGTCAGCAAATTATGACCCATCGGGCAAATCTGGCTTCTGCCTGTTTTTGCTCAGTTCTTGAGGTAAAAATGGTTTGAGATTTTTTAACAATTAGGAAAAAAAATCCAAAGAAGAATAATATTTCTTGACACCTGGAAATTACATGAAATTCAAATCAATAAATAAAGTTCTATTGGAACTTTTATTTACACAGTGCTCATTTGTTTACATATTGTCTTTGGCTGCTTTTGCAGAGTTGGGTAGTTGCAACAGAGATTCAAAGCCTAAAATATTTATTATGTGGCTCTTTACATAAAAAGTTTGCTACCCACAGTGCTGTATGAGGATACGTGTATGGAACAGATATGGCTATTGGTGTTACCATAAGGGAAACCAGTCTGAATATGAAATGTCACAGGGAAGAGGGCTGCAGAGATACCTGCTGAGAAATGGACCCAGAGCCCAGAAGTGATCATGAAACTCTGAACTGAATCAAACCTGAAGCCCACTTTATCTCTGCACTTTTCAGTTGCATGAGCAAATACATTCCCTTTACTATATGATCCAGCTACAAGTAGATTTTTCATTAACCAAAAGCGAAAGATTCTTAACTAAGTTACAAGATTCAGATGTAATCTCAGTTCTTTTTGCCCTTAATACATCCAAATTTCTCCAAATCTCCCATTTCATAGCCTACGACAGATCAAAGCTATTCTCATGATTGCTATGAATTCCCAAAGCCTTACTGTCTTAGTTCATATTGCCACAACAAAATACCATACACTGGGTGGCTTAAACAACAGACATGCAGTTCTCACAGTTCTGGAGGCTGGGAAGTGCAAGGTCAAGGTGCCAGCCAGCTCCGTGTGTGGTGAGAGCCTCTTTCTGGTTTGCAGATGGTTTCCTTCTTGCTGTACCTTCACATGGCAGAGAGAGAGAACTAGCACTCTGATCTCCCATCAGGGTGCTAATCTCATCATGATGACGCCATCCCCAAGGCCTCATCAAACCTAATTACATTCTAAAGGCTCCATCACATTGAGGGGTTAGAGTTTCAACATATGGACTATGGGGAGACAAACATTCAGCCTGTAGTTCTTATGTTCTCATGGTCTTTGCACCATGAATACCACACTTGTGACATATGCTGTTTTCACCCATCATGACTCATCACAGATTTCTCAGGCACACACAAAACTTTACACCTATCATTTTGTGAGTTTAGTCATTTTAAGTTTTGAGGGATCATTAGAAGGAGTCCCTCCATCCACTATATAAACTCTGCTATCCCATGGCTATCCATTCTGTTCTTCTCTCTTTATTCTCTTATTTCTCTCTTTGTAGGATGCAGCCATACCAGATTGCCTGGAATTTTCCCCAATTTGGGGATTGTCCTGAACTTTGCACTGAAAAGTCCCATGTCCCAAGAAATATCTCAGTCCTGAGCAAAGTGGAAAGATTGTTAACTCTATCTTTTTGTCCCAAGTGAAACAGTTTTACCTGCCTCTCTGAAGCAACAAAGCCAGCCCACACCTAAGGTTCACGGAAACCACCTGTTCCAACAGACATATCAAACATCTTCCTGATCAAGGCAACTCTCCCTGTACCAGGTATTGAGAAAATAAACATTTATCAATTAGATGCATATACACTTAAAATTGTTATGTCATCTTTATGAATTGATTCTTTTATCATTATGAAATGTTCTGTTTCGCCTCAGGCAATAATTCATGTCTTGAAATACACCTCGTTATTAATACAGTAACACCAGCTCTCTCATGTTCAGTGTTTGCATGATATACATTTCTCCATCCTTTTTTTCTGTGGTGCCTAATTCGCTGTTAAGTTCCTTCAATGAATTTTTAATTTCAAAGATTATAGTTTTCAATTCTAGGATTTCTATTTTTTCCCCTAATTTGCATATCTTTCCTGATATTCCCCATCTCATCAGCCATTCTATCAATCTTTCCTAATAGATTCTTTACAAGTATATCATAGTTATCTTAAAGTCTTCATCTGCTAACTCTAACATCTGGGACTTTGTGGATCTGTTTGATTGTTTTTTCCTTTGATTGTGTGCCACATTTTCCTGCTTCTTTGCACATTTAGCAATTTTTCATTGTATACTGTACATTACGGGCAACATGTCGTAAATGACATATTGCCTTCCTTCGAGTTTTGTTCCAGTAGACTTCTCAGCTACTGACAAGTCACCTTGATCTTGTGGAGCCTTGACAGGATGGGCTCATTGTTGTTTTGCCCTTGGGTTTCAGTTGTAGTCCTTAGTCCTGCATCTTTATTCTTAAGATATGACCCTCTTAGGGTTTCAATGAAAAGCATAAAGAATTTAGTAAGTCCCTTTTACTTGGCTGGACTTGAAGTCCAAAGCTTGTCTCTCTAGGACCAAGCATTGGCTGCAATCTCTGCTCAGCCCCTTTAACCTTTCCATTGGTGCTTTCCACTGGATTCCCTGGGGTCTGATCATGGGCAGTTTGGTAGCCAGCCAACAACTTGAGGAGAATCTGTACATAGATTTGCAAGCTCCCCACCCTGTCTCCCTATTTCCTGGAGCATCCCTCCTTAATTTCCAGAGACTGTGACCACACCACACTCTGACTCCTGAATCCTCAGTCTAGTCAGTCCACCTCTTCCTGACTGAGTTCTGCTCCTTAAATACATTACAAGGTAAGGAGTGTCCTCAGGGGAGAAGCTGTCAAACGTGGGTCTTACCTACTTTGTTTCCATTATTGTAAGAATCATGTCCCCTCCAGTGTCTGCTATTTTCAGTCATTCCCCAGGAGCTTCAAACAGTTATTTTAGTTCTGATCTTATAATTGTTCATGCTCTTTTTCAGTCCAAAGTTCAAAACTAGGATAAGCAGATGGTCGTTCAATAAAACCTACTCTGCTATTAGCAGAAATAAACTCCCTTTACTGCTAAAAAACAAACAAAACTCTGGTCTTTCTAGGCAGAACCGAACTTTCCTGGAAGGTGTGTGTAACTATATAAGAATAATGGTAATGATAGTAAGAGATCATGGCTATTGAGCATTCAGTATCTGCAAGCTTCCTGTTTTCAGTGCTTTATCTGTCCTCAGTTTATAGATGAGAAAACAAATACAGAGAGGTTAAGAAACTCGCCCAAATTCATAAAGGTGGTAAATAGGAAAACCAGGACTCCAGCCCCCATGGCCTGATGTCATAGCTGGCTTTTGTAACCACTAAGCTAAGGTGCTATTTAAGTGGGAGCTGCTGGTTGATTCTGATGGAGACAGTTTAGAGGGGATTCAGCTTACAGCAGAGAACTGAATAACCTGTATGCTTCTTTTAAAACTATGAATCCATTATTCTATAAAAATTATAACCCCCAATCAGCAAAAAATATTAATTTTTATGTCAGAAAAATTATTTTGCTTCAATCAGAAATCCAGAAAATGTACACATAATAAGAGTAGATTTGCATGTCTACCTAACTCTTGCAAAATCAGTTCTCTTTTCTCTACTTTAGAATTTGACTTACAGCATCTCAAGCAGAACTACATACTTGTGGTTGCCTGATTACTGTGGTGCTAGTTGTACACTGTGTTCATTCCGAATGCAGGGTTAAGATAGATGAACCAACTTACTTCAAGCAATTCGGAGCATCAGCCTTTGAAATTTTGAAAGATAGCCATTTTGGTGTGTTTTTTGGCACCACCCCCAAAATATCTGAAAAATATTTTTAACGAGTGAAATTGCTCTAAGAAAACAAACACATTGAAATAGTTTTCCTCAGACAAAAACAAAACTGTTCTTGAGATCAATTAAAAAAAAATCTCTTTCCTTGACACCCCTCCCTTGATACATGCCTCCCAAATAGTTGTAAACTAATTAATCAGAAATGAATATTGTTTTGCAAAAATAAAATAAATGAAAAACTCTTGAAAGAACAGTCTACAGTCCTTGAAGTGATCTATATTTTAGTGTAGGCTGCTGCTGAAGACATAATTTATTTAGAGTATATTCTCATGACCAACCTACAGGAAAACCTCTTTTCTGGAATTAGTACCAGGAACAGCAGCACTTCTCCTAAATCTGTGGTCTGTTTTTCCCTCATAACACAGTTGACTTTGTAATGTGTTACATTTACTTGCCACCGAACATTGCAGGAAAGCACGCAGCCATGTCTGTGGCTGACCCCGTGTAATACTAAACTTTGTAACAGCATCTTTTTTTCAAGATATTAATGCAACTCTTGACTTCTTCTTACTTTCCTACCTTTATCTGTTTTCTTGGCCTCATTTTTCTTGGGTTTTAATTAATGCATATTTGTAAGCTACCTTAAATCTCTCTTTGAGGCAGTGTGAATAAAATGAACTAAATATTCTCAATTTGATGACCACAGTTTGAATAATGAGAAATATCAACCAGTAAATGAAAATTGAGAAGCAAAAAAAACTTGAAAAAATTCACAAAATATATAAAAAGGGTGAATAGCTTTCATAATGAGGAATCTTGAATATCAACCAGAGAAAACTAGATGGGACTGCAAGTAAAAAATTTAGGAAAGATCCTGAAAAGGCATGAACATAGAAAAAAAGCAATTGGAGAGATAACAAATGTGAAAACACAGTCAGTCTCAGTCTCATGCGAATCAAAATTTAAGGAGAAACTTCTGGAAACAATGGGAAAATAAATTCATTTCCTTGAAATTCACTTACCTTGCTCCTTGACCTCAAGGAGGGGGACAGATAGGCAAATAAACATGTGTAGAATGTGCAGAGCATGTGTGTGTTACCGGCAAGTACCGGGGGAAGTGGTCCAGACAGGTCCACAGGAGGGGAGATGCCTGGGCTGGATCTGGAAAGAAGAGCTGGCATCATTAGATGTGATGAAGGCAGGGACCGTCTAAGAGGCATGCTTCATGGGCACAGACTCTGTCATTTAGTGGGCACTTGATAAATATTTTTAAAATAAAAAGAATGAGAAAGGACATTTCTGCCAGGAAGCAAAGGCACAGAGTAATGACTAAAATCTATCAAATGAACAAATGCTTGTATGAACAAATGAGCTGTTTGTCAGGGAGATACTAATGCATCTAGGAAAAAGAGATTAAAGGGCCACCCTCCGAAGGACAAAACAAAGATCTGATTCCCCCTAACCCTTATGGATTATTATCATACACGTTACTACTTGGAAGGAGAATTCTGGACAATTCCTTTGGCTTTAACTATATCCTGATTTTTCTAACTGCATTTCATCCTGATCACCAGGCCTGAACACTCCCAACTCAGGCATTTTCCCAGCCAATAGTCTCTGAAAAGGCCCATCTGTGCTACACCTTAGGGAATATGAATAGTTGCATCAAACCTTGATACTCAGTCTGAAGACGGTTTTTCTCTGGCTATAAGGGAAGACAGATGTGCTACAGGGAATACATTTAAATGTTAACATTGGTTGTTTCACAGCAGTGGATTTCTGAGTAACTTTTATTTTCTACTTTGTACCTTTCAGTGTTTTGCAAATCCTCTGCCTCAGTTCTGAATCGCTTTTTTATAAAGACAAGAAAAGAAGTCAGGTCAAGAAATTCCTGTGAATCTTACGGGGGATAATTAAACTAGGAAAAGTTGTGGAACTACTTAGAAATCTACTGAGTTTTCACATTATGGACAATTTAAAGAGAGGGTGCAGGGTGATTTGTACTTGGGTAGAATATGGTTTTAGACGTGTTCCATTCTAAGCTACTGAATACAAAATGTATAAATGTTATCTTAAATATCAAACAGGACTAAAGGCAATTTAACAGCAATTAATTTTGTGTCGCCTCCAAAACTCCAGTTGAAAATGTCCTTGTTGTAATCAAATTCCTACGCTTCTTAACCCAGCATTTTAACTAATGAATTTAATTATGAAGAAAACTGCAGTCACTATAGCCTTCTTCTTAATCATGCCTGTGTTTATGGACAAAAAAAAAATCTGTTGCCATGGAAATTTTAGTGTCAAAGTTGCAACTCATAAAGCTTTACTGAAGTGTAAAGTAAAAATAGGAACTGATCTTCAAGGAAGAGAAACTTCTTTCTTAATGTATATTTTAAAACATTGACATTACGGACAGCAGATGGATTTTACAAGTGAATTTCATTTTATATAACCAAGCAATTACGTGAAAAGTTCGGGATATATCTCATTTTGGAAAACCAAATAATTTAAAGTATAACTAGGGAACTTAACAATAGATAGGAACTGCACAGCGAATCTGCTCTCCTATCTTATGCTAAAATTAATGTTTTCATAGACTGTTTTCTAAAATTTGGCACCTATATAGTTGGACATTAGTTTCAAAATGATTTTCAGTTATCATTAAAACAGAAAATAATGGAACCAGATGTGAACAATGGAGTTTCAGCTGTGTAATGAGACCAGAGTCATAACTCACATTTAATATGTATTTACTGATAGTGGAGCCATTAACTACACTTGCTGGCCAACAAGCTGAGGAAGGTAAACGATGTGTTTCTTTTTAATTTATGAAATAAAGCAAATATATGCAAACAAGTATAAGCCAATACAACAAACATTCAGCTTAAGAAAGAAAACTTTATGAATGAAACCTCTCGGGTGGTCTTACTAGACCTCATTTCCCTCCTTCATCAAGAGGTGACCATAAACCTAAATTTGGTATTGACTTTAATCTACCTTAATAAAAAGTTTAGTATGTATTTGTACATCCATAAATACTATGTATCATGTCATTCTGCCTATTTTTAAAACTTTATTGAAATAGTATCTCCCTATAGGTATCCTTCTACATCATTTCATTTTTTTCTTTTGCTCAACCTGCTTTTGAAGTATATCCAGCTGATGTTTCTTTAATTCATTTCCAACTGCCCTGCAGTAGTCTGTTATTCATTCATTTGTGTGTTCTGTATAATACTCTACCATATGATTACATTATTTATTTGTCCATTCTCCAACTGAGGGATATTTAGTAGTTTTCCATTTTTTTTGTTATTGTAATCTATGCACCAGTGAATATTTTTGTGTTTAAGTTCCCTTGAGTATATGGGTGGAAGCGTCTTTTGGGGATATATCACAAGCATTTCAGATATGAGAAAATGAGAAAGGGTGCTTAAATAGTGGACTTCTGTATTCCCAGTTAGGGGCTTGTCCAATCCTATGCAGGCATAGATAATATTAATTAACTAAAAATAATATTTTATTTTTCGTGGATTGAAAATGTCCATGATGACATTATGTATATTTTACCTAAGTTTCCACACTTTGTGGACACCTTGGAGATTCCAAGATACATTAACAAACAGTGATGTTCCTAGTCTCAAGCCAAACAAATGCCGAAGGACTGCTGGATGGGCTCACACACTAATGACACTCTCGAACTAAGGTTAGAAGACCATCCTGTGAAATATAACAATACAGAACTATGTGCCCTTGGGCAACGTTAAGAGCCAAATGATCAGGGCACCAGGAAGCACTTGAGGAGTTCTGGGAGCCCTGTGCTCTGTCATTTGAGCTGGGATAGAGGGATTTATATAATGCTGGCCGGAAGAGAAAGGAAGAGAAATGCAGACCAGAGGCAGAAGCCAAATTTCTAGTACTTCTCAGAAATGTACCAATATTTTTTTCTGCAATTCAGTGAAGGAGAACAAGTCAACTGGGCTGTGGGAATGTGGAAAGTGCCTACATGGGAACTGAACCGAGACTACTGCATTTAAGCCTTTGAATAGCTGGCAGGTGGTCAATTTCTAAAGCAATCTCTTGGAGATTGATTTGGAGAAAGATGTGGGGAGTGCTGGGGCTTTATTACCCATCGCGTAGCTGCTGGCACTGGCTCCTCTTCTCTCGCTCCCTGCTTCCCTCCCTGCCTTTCTCCTTCTCTTCTTCCCATTTCAGTTTCCTCCTGTCATTCTGTTATAATTAAAACAAACAGAAAATATTGCAGGTGTCTGCTATAAAGCATCTGCAGATACTGTATGTTGCATGGGGATGGGGGTAAGGGGGAGAAAAGCAGGTCCACATTGTGCAATTTGGTCTTCAAAAAAACCCTGAAAGACATTTCTGAAAATAAACATATCTCTCTTCCTGGCAGATTTTGAATTTTCTGTTTGTTTGTACTTCAGCTTGATTCATCACCATTTCCTCAGTGCCTTGCACAGAAGCTTCAGTGCTAACCAGTGGGTGTTGGTCCTATTTTAGAAGAGATGGGGGATTTCTGGAATGATGACTTAAAATGAGGAAACTGCGACTGCAGGGTCTGGAACAGTTTTAGACAGTGTTTCTCTCAGTCAAAACAACACCCAAGAATGAGAGCATCTGTAAGTTACTAAAAGTGGAGAAAAAGTAAAAATGTGCTGAAATGTTATCTGTAATAGTTGAAAGGGACCTGTCTTCCCCAGAGGAAACCAATATATTGGCACAGATAACACTGGGGACACCCCATGCTTTCTTGGGGCATCCATTCAGGTCTGCAAGTGATTTTTAAAAATCTGTTTCTAGGGTGTTCCCTGGTAAGTATTCCAGTTTTAGCTTGAGGTTCAGTTACGTCTTCCTCTCCTTTGATTTTCAAATTTTCCAGAGTAGAGTAGGTACAAGGACTGGGGAAGCCAGGTTAGCAACAAAGAGCTCAAATTCTCCAGCCAAACAGAGCTGGGATTTAGATCCTGGCTCTGCCTCACACTGACTGTGATCATTGGGCAAGTTTCTATACTGCCTTATGCTTTCATTTTCTTATCTGTAACATAGAGGTCAGTCACCCTGTGTGCATCATGGTCATAACTCTTGTGAGGACAGGAGGAGATGATGTATATGAAGTACTTATTAATACAGGGCCTTGCATGATAAATGCCCCAGAAAGGAGACACAATAGATGTAGTGATAGTGATGGTGGAGGTGGTGGTGATACCTTTGCTTCTCCTCCTTTTAGAGCCCCATAGTGTCATCTTTCCTAAGCTATGTACATATATACATACATATATACATGCGGACATCCATCCATCCATCCAATCATTCATTCTTTCAACTCACAAATATTACAGACCTCTACTTTGTGCCAGACATCATTCTAAAATAGAACATGCATTTATATTAATAATATTTAAATAAATAAAAACAAAAAGCATCCAATCAGTAAAAACTTAATAGTCGGGGGAGGATATAGCTCAAGTGATAGAATGTGTGCTTAGCAAGCCCAAGGTCCTGGGTTCAATCCCCAGTATCCCTATTTAAAAAAATAAGAATTAAATAAATAAACCTAATTATCTACCCCCAAAACAAAAAAATCTTTTAAAGCTTAATAGTGATGAAGAATGAAAGACACGCATATACATTCTCAGGAAATTAACATTAGGTTGCAGCGAATGGCCTTGCTCTTAGTCGGGCTGTATTTCCATACCTGTATTAAATGTGTAGTGCCTTCTCCTGTGCCTCTTGCCTCTCTCTAGTGGCCAAAATTTCCACAATAAATTTAACTTCCCCTGGGAGAAACACAAAACTCTTAAAAGCATTCTCCATCCCAGCAGAGAAATTTAAAAACCCCAGACCCTGGTCAAAGGATTTGGAAAACTTCACCACATTAGAGCCATCACGTTCTGAATGACTTTTCTGGACAACCTCAACTGTATTTCATATGATGGTAGAGTCACTAGGCAAATTTTCTTTCTGAATTTAATGATAAATATTTTGTTCCTTTCTTTTTCACTACAACGTGGTCCCTACTGATTTTCTGCCTTTGTTTCTTTCCTTTCCATTATATACCGCATACTTATCTTCCCTGAAAGCCAGGCTATCAGTCATTTCATTCATTCATTCACTCATTCGTTCCCTTTCACTCAATCAATACTCCTCAAATGTCTACTAGGGCCAGGAATGTGTCACTTTTCTCCTTAATCACCAGTAATGGTATCCTATCACATACTGAATCAAGCCCAAAGTCTTCACTCCAGTTTGACCCTTAGAGTTTATCTTATTTTCCATCACGACTGTCCACTTCATAGTAGGAGAGTCCTTTGCACACATACCATATTCACTTTCATTCTTATGCCTCTGTTCTCCAATAGCATCCTCTCTACCAGCAAATTTTCAACCATTATTATCCTTCTTATCATTAAAAGTCTTGCTCAAGACTCATTTCCTCTATGTAGTATTCTCAACAATTCTAGCTTGATTATTCCTAGACTGGAACATCATGGATGAGAAAATGAAAACACACAAAACAAAAAACCAGGGACTAATATAAGGTTGCTACTTTTTCTTTTCTTGTAAAATAAGAACATTTAAAAATATCAGTAACCAGCTACTATTACCACTACTTCATGAAAGGCCATTTTAACACAAATATGGAGCAGGAAATCCATAATCTTAGAATAAAGGTCAGTTCATTCAACACATTTAAAGTTAGAAAAGACACATTTATGTTGCCTTATTTTTTTCATTTTACTATGAATGCCCATTTATGAGCCAGTATGTAGGAAGCACTTACGTACAGCATTCTTCAGTGCTAAGCAAAATGGGTCAGAAATGCATGATCCTTTTCCAACTTGGTAGGGAAATGACAACTCCTAGCAGGATGACCATTACTACCTTAGGTACTGTGCTAAGTACCTTTTTATCATATCACTTGATTTAATCCTCACAGAAATCCTATTAATATGCCCATTCTACAGGTGAGGAAACGAGGGCTTAAAGAATTTGTTACTTTCTCAGTACAGCAGAACTAGTAGGTGGTGAAGTTACTATTCAACTCCATGTCTATAGAGTTCCATAGCCTATGCTCCAAAATTTTATGTAACATTGTCTCTTAGAAATATAATATTTGATTGTGCTGAACACTGGAATTTGACACAACATTGTAAAATGATTATAAATCAATAAAAAATGTCAAAAAAAGAAATATAATATTTGAAAGGTCTAATTCACTGCAGATTTCTTCCCAAATCACACAGAAAAACTTCCAAAGTTGACTGACCACATGTCGAAGTTTATCCAGAGTTTCTCAGGCTTGGGCCAGATAGTTCTTGGTCGTGGAGGGCTCTTCCGGACACTGTAGGATATGTCACAGCACCCCTGGCTTCTACCCACTAGATGCTAGTGGTACTCTCTTCCCAGTTACAATAACCAAAAATATCTTTGCGCACTGCCAAATGTCACCTGAGGGACAAGACTGACCCCAGTCAAAAACTACTGGTTTAATTCAGTCTTGCTGTATGGACACATCTAAAGGCAACCTAAAAATAAACTACATAAATATGGAAACAGCTGCACTGTGCACAGACATGTTTTCTATGACCAGCTCTGTAAGACAGATGTAATAAGCAACGTTATCATTTAATTCAAATACTATTTAAAAATCACTCAAAACTATAATTTTTAAAGAAATTTAGCCTGTGTAAGAAGATAATCTTTTTTTGCTTATTATATGAGGACAGTACCAAAAATTCACTTCAAACCAAGAAAAGCAATAACAAATCCTTTATGAGGTTAACGTGTAAAGAGTGTTCAGGGAATTATCGACACCATCCAGTTGAAAAGGCTTCCTCCTGATACGATACAACCATTAGCAAGATCAAAAAGTCTCTCAAGACTGAATATAGATGGCAGCGAGACATCAAATGGGACCTGAGAAAAAGCATAAAAGCGTTCATGAGATGCACTGCTTCAAACTGTTGACTGAAGAGACATGCCCAAAATACACAAATACCAATTCCATATCACAATCTTACGTGAAAAATATTTAACTCTTGCCTAAAGTAAGACACAAAGTTTCACATCTCTACCCTGCTGAATGTCACATTTATTATTTTATAACCTACTAGCATTGATAGCCATGAATCTATAAAAACAGCAGACTCCTATCTGTGAATCTATGAAAATGAGCCTACAAAATGGCAGACACTTCTAGAAATGTGGATTACTCGTATTTACACATCACTGTATATGACTCTAAGTGTAGGAATTTGGGCCCCGTCCTAATGAACTGTTTCCCTCTGTAACAGCTTGCCCAGTTAACAACTCTCCCTCCCTCACTTTGAGCTTACATTCTTGACACAGTGAAGTGAATTATGTTTGGAGCTCACTGGTGGAGAAACACCTAGCTACCATGCTGAGGACCAGTGTAGCCAAAGTTGTATGAGCAGCCTGAAAAATGGAAACTAAAGACTGCTTTTGTGGTCATAGCACTGGTTATTTTCTTCATAAACATGAAGGAAAGGAGGCAGATGTTTACTGTTCAGGCAGGCCTAGATACTTCTGAAGATAAATGAGCAAATGTCATGTAGAATGGTCACAGTGAATTAGATTCTTGTGGCCTTGAATCCTCGTAAGGAACTAGATAGAAGACAAGTTTTATTAATTTCTTGTCTATTCGTTAAATGAAATTTTTATTCTCAAGAAAGAGTAACAAACTTAAAAGTGGAGGCTTGTTTGTATTTTTTTTCTTAA